TGTGCAGTGTGAATTTCTTCACAAATGCTTTTATTTTATGTACAAAGGAAAGGCAGGCAACACTTTTCATTCTTCTGGTTCATCTCCTGTCTTCTACAGCTACATTTCATCGAGTTCCGCAGTAACAGTATTTCCATTCTTCCTGTTATTGTTCCAGTCTATATTTTTGTTGTTGTTCCCGTAAATATTTTGTTATTCCTGTTACTCCTGTTAATTATTTTGTTATTATTCCTGTACCATGTCTCGCCCAGTAAAGCAAGTCAGAACTCTTCAAGAAATATTAAAAATCATAGAAGAAGTGGAGAAGAATCCATTTGTAAAAAGAATCGACATTGCTAAGCGCCTTGGATTAGCACCATCTACTTTAAATTCAATAGTTGCAAAGAAGAAAGAAATCCGAAAACAAACTGACAAGGGTAGTAATTCATACAAATAAACGAAAACCGGAAGAAAGTCCACTTTCAGTGAGCTAGAAAGTTTCCTCTTCACTTGGTACCAGCAATCGCGGGCCTCAGGAATTCCTGTTGATGGCAACATCTTGCGGGGAAAAGCTAAGACGATAGCCGCAAGACTGAATATTGAAAATTTTGCAGTGTCGAACGACATGGTATGGTTTACAAGAAGTTAGCCGGCGAAAGTGCTGCTGTGGATATGGATATGGCTCGAGAGACTGCCAACACTGCTGGAAGGATATGAGCTGCGGGACATTTATAATGCGGATGAGACCGGACTTTTCTACAACGCCTTCCTGGATAGGAAGCTGGCATTGAAAGGTGAATCTTGCCACGGGGGGAAAACGTCCAAAACACCGGATTACAGTTCTTCTGTGAGTTAACAGTGACGGTAGCAACAAACGGGGTCTGATTGTAGTTGGAAAATCACTAAAACCGCGTTGTTTCAAGAACATAAAAAAACCTCCCGTGAAATATCAAGCCAACAAAAAGGCATGGATGACCACAGACGTCTTAACGGTGTGCAATGGACCTGTCGTAAAACAGAACACAATAATAATAAGGCAAATGAAAAAATGGCTGTTTTATTTATCTTGATTATATAGCAGATAACAGATGGCCTAAACAAGTGCTAAAGCAGATGCCACCAGAAAGGAATAATAGAGTAAAACCAAGAGTGGAATGGATGCAAGGAACCCAGGATGAAATGGCAAAAAGAAACAGGAGAAAGACGATGGATGGAGAAAACGGCAGCTGGGAATCTGAAGACGTCTATGACATTAACACACACACACACATATACATGTGTTGTGAAAATATTACGATATGGTAATAGTTTCTGAAGTAGACAATAAGAAGTACAGAAATCAGATAAATTAAAAATATTTACAAAAATTACAACATTAAAACTGTAAACAACTTCACAGCACAAAATACTCACCGCAGCAACTGAAGGAATGTCAGTCTGGTCAGCTGATGGATGGGTCACATCAGCTCCTACTATCATGACAGGGTTTTTCAAACATGGTGGCCTAATAACAGAACACAATGATTCTTGAAACTTTAATTTTGTCTGAAAATCCAGCAATGACAAAGAGATGAATGGGCAGAGAAAATGTTGCTGCTACATGACAATGCCAGAACCCATACCAGCTGCTGAACAAAGATGACTTGCAGACAGTGTCTGCAAGTCAATGTGTAACATCCCACAGAAATCTGGCTTGGAGGCATGTTTACAAGAAATAAAATAAAAGGGGAACTAGGAACATTTTATGTGAGGAAGAATGAAGGCAATGAACAACTTCTTAAGAAACAAAATGAAAAACCAATTATAAACACAAAATTAAAGACTGCTACCATTCCAGTTCTGGGTGATATTACTGTTGTGGTGGGTTGATATTCTGATGTTTCAAATAATCTGGCTGTTTCCATGTTCAAACAAAGTGACTGAATATGTCAAAGCACCAATATTATAGATAAGGGCCAGGAAGCATTGGGAAATTGATACATTCTGACTGGTGAATGTGTGACCAGCAGGAAAGCAAATAAGAATTCAGGTCCCTTTTCAGGGCCATCATTCTCAAACTGCTTCTAGAGAGAGTTAGTGAAACAGATGAATGAACTACAAATATCAGCATCAATTTGCTTATCAATGGAGAAAAAGAGATTCTCCAGAATGTCAGCAAACTAGACAACTACAGTGAAACCTCTATCCATCGTTCCCCAAACTATCGTTTTCCCGGATGTATCGTCCGTTTTGTTCGGTCCCCGATACATCACATATAAAATAATGTTACATTTTCCCGCTTCTATTATCATTCCTCGAACTATCGTCTTATCGCATCAATCGTTCAGAAATCTCAGTCCTGGCCCACAATTTTCCCGCAATGATCGTTTCTGAGAAATGATAACATGTATGCCTACATGGCCTAACTGTGAAAGTGTACTGAGCTGAAAACAATTCCTCCTATTTATAAGAGGTTCTTAGCATTTACTTCAAACTGAAGATTATACAATAATGCATAATTTTTTTGTTACAGCATTCACTCACCTCACATCTTCTGCTGTTGTTCATGTATCTATTTTCAGGATAGCCCACGAAGTCAATGCCATACTACTAAAGAGTGCTTCTGGGCTCCAAACACCTTCCTTTGGACTCACATTCTCCGTACTCTGCAATAATAATGATCAAGCAACTTTGGAACGTTTCTCGTGGAACATGATAGTACAATTCTACATTTTAATTGTCTCCAGTTTTTACTTTACATAGTCCATTCTAAACCTGTAATACAGCAAACTGTGATGCACAAACCTAGAAGGGTAGTAATTCATGCAAATAAACGAAAACCGGAAGAAAGTCAGACGTGATTAAATTTGGTGATTACGCGGCAGTAGTTCAGGAATTAAAACGAGAAGCTGAGAATAGGGAAAACTTGTGAACGCTTTTTGGGCAGAAGAACGGACACTAAATAATAATAAAGACAGTGAGCTTGCCACATGCGGAGTCGACACCATTGATGAGTTGTGTGAAAATCGCGAAGGGGTTGGGAGCGGTGAGGGAGAGGCAGATGACGAATGCGAGCCTGAAGCTGTGCCGAGTTTTGCCGAAGCACATGCTGCATTGTCAAAAGTGAAGTCGTTCTTTTATGAGCATAACATTAGTGAACGTGACGAGGAAAACATTTTGAACGTGGAAAGGGCTCTGTTTGGCCTAAAACGTAAAGTTTCGACAAACCAGTTGTCCATTAAAGACTTTTTTGGTAAAAAGAAGTAACTTTGAAAGAGAAACATTCAGTTTTTTTTAAGTTTTTAATGCTTTCCCGCAACTATCGTTTTCCCGTATTCATCGTTTTCATTTCCCGCCCCCACCAAAAACGATGCATCGAGTTTTCACTGTACAATGATGTGTTATCACTCATGAATGAAAAGAAAATTAACTACAAACTGCTATAGGAAAATGAAGATTTATTGCACAACTGATCACCTTGATATTTTAGCGAAAATTTGGTTTACACCATCCAGCTTAGTGTTGGCTTTCAACAGAATATTCGAACATGTGGCAGGATTCATAAGTTGCATTGTTCTTCCCTTCACACACTGAGTCAATATTCCAACATTCAATTCTGCTAGTTGCTTCACCTCAGCTGCAACATATCATAAGTATGGTCATAAGTTTTCAACATCAAAATATGCAGTTTGTACATAACCCTTTTATTGGTGCAGCATAAATGTGAAGTCCAACTTTTACCTTGATGGCAATTATGATAAAGAAAATATGATTGTTTTACAATCTTTGTTGCAGACTGTTGTGACAATGCTGCACACTGGCAAAACACATAACAAAACCAGACAAGCAAATTCACACAGCCATGATGGTGTAATTCCTCCATGTTAGTTGCCTGATGTTGATGTTTGCATGTGTGTGTGTGTGTGTGTTTTGGGGGGGGGGGGTTATTAAAGCAACAAAGCCAGCACAACACACAAATAGCCTCAAATCTGCACAGATTATGACTAGTTCCTTACTTACTTGTATTTAAACAACCACGTCGACGGGTTAAACACCGGGGTTGCCAACATACACTAAGCAATGCTTAGTGATGTGATGTGAAACACTTGCACTCAGATTTGGAATCAGAATTAATTTATAAGATCAGTTTTCTTACATGATACCATATGCTTTTTTACTTGTGTAAGAGGCAGGAATAAAAAGAAGTATACAGCCTGACAATGTTTAACTACAGTGAGTTTTCAAAATGCATACCAAGGAGTAAAAATCTTTCAAATGATAAAACAATGACTAATTAATTGCACATTAATAAAATTATGAATTTGTTTAATGTCAATGATGGCAATCTGTAGTACCTATCAAACTCACTGTTGTTTTCATGGCTATTTCAATTTCAGTGTTCCTTGGATACAATGCAACAAGTAATATGGTCCAGGATTGGAAACCAATAATACATGTGGGCTACTTAGTTACTAAATACACAATGTAACTTTGTAAGTAGACAACCTCTCACCATAGTGATCTCCATTATCAGGAATCACAACTACCACCAGCTGAACTCCACCATTTTTCAATGCTGTAAGGAACTCCTCTAGTTTGTGTTTTTATTTTTTGGTGGGTCCATACGCTCTTGTGAAGGATGTTTAATATCCATCCCCAAACTTTCTCCCGCTTTCTTCAGATTTGTTATAAAATCACTGTGACATAAATATAAAAGATTAAGACTTCAAAATGTTAAGAGGATTCAATATTCTACAGATAAGAATGAAGGTTACACCATTCTTCTTCATCTTTTATTGCCTATCGCTATTTTCCAGAGCACAGTTCCTCCTTTCGGAGGTTTCCTTGGTCTTCTGATGAGTGCATGTATGAGTAGTGAGCGACCAGCCCACTGACTCTGCACAATTTCTACTCAGTCTGTGACAGCCCACTCTGAGTTCGATTCTCGAGTAGGCGGACCTGAGATAGACTTAGACTGGACTTTTGGCGATTACTCCAGTTTATACGCAAGGAAAGGGGCCTAAGTTAACTGAACTAATACAGAATTATTGGACTACATCCCCTCGAATCCTGCCGCCTCGACATCATTCTCAGTCACGTTTGAACCCGCAAATCTTGGGTTATTCCCTGAAGGCGAGAGTCCATGCCCCTGAGCTACCAAAACGAAACCCAACACCAGCCGGGCGTCCTGATGGAGAGTTTGGAGTGAAAGGACAGTTACAGAAGAAGTGGCGTGACGTGTGGCACGAGAAGGCAACTGTGAAGAGATCATACAACAATAGGTGGAGAGAAGGAAGTGCTACATCGAACACCGATGTCAGGTCAAGGACGTACGAGACTGTGAGCAACTTCGGGGGCAGCAACACAACTCGGGACCGTGAGCGCCGGACCATCGTGACACGGACCCCCGATCCCACCAGATGAAGGAGCAGGAAAGCAGGATTGCCAGCTACCGATGACTGCGGCCGACGCGTGAGGAAACAGCGATCGAGAGGAAGTAACACGGTGGCACTGCCGCCACGACACCAGGGAACGACTACATCGCTACTCCAAGTTTGGCAAAGAACGCCGATACTAGGTCAGTGAGCAAAATGACTGGGAGGACCCTCCACAGTAAGAGAGTAGTAGCTGACGAATCAGAAGGGGAAGGTGAGGTTCTGGGCTGGCCGAGTAGAGAACCATGTACCGGCAATGAACTGTTAGACAGCCCTGCGGACAAAGAACCAGGTGTAGTCGAGGAGATGGTAGGCAAAAACATAGCCGGAGGCGAAATTTTAGCAGGGGGAAGGCAGGAAGAAATAGAACAGACAGTTAGTTCAAATAAAGAGGGTGGCAATGTAAATTCCTCGGGGGTGCAACCAAATCTACTTGCTATTATATGGAGATCGTTGCAGGAAGATAGAGAAAGGAATGAGGAAAATAGGAAACTAGATGCAGAGAGATAGAGAATGTGTGAATGAGAAACTGAAAGTGCACATGGAGGAAAATAGGTTGGAGCGAGGTAAATTGTGTAAAGAAATAGAAGACAAAACTAAAGAAATGAGCTTAAAGTTAGAGGAACATAAGACTGAATTGGAGAAAAATTTAAGTGCAGTTAGAAAGGAAATGGCAAGTGTTAAGCAGGGAGTAACGGAGAAAACCATAAATACTTTGTAAGAAAAGGTAAAGGTAGCTGAACGAGACAGTTCCGCTAAGCTAGAAGAACTTGCTGCACGTGTAGATAAATTGCAAGGACTGTTAACTATAGGGTGCAGACAGGTAGAATCGTCCGTTGGCAGTGACGGACAAGCATTTAGGATGAATGTAGCGAATGGCGGAGAACAGGCATCGTGTTCATCCCGAGTTGGAGATTTAGGTGAGAATCATGTGCATAATAGGCAGGGAAGTACGAATGGATGTAGAGTGAATGTTGGACATTTACCCGTATTGTGTAATGTGCCCAGCAGTGATGCAAATTTGTCCCATACACATGAATTCACCAATAGGAATTTCGATCAATGTCACGGGAACGCGTTGGGCGACCTAGATCTACCAAGGTTTTCAGATTGCCATAAGCAAAATGTCGTGCATTTTTTCGCAGAGTTAGACAGCTATTTTGATCTAAAGAGCGTGCCTGAGTTGTTAAAGCTACCTTTGGCAATGAAGGCGGTTACCGACTGTTACACCAAACAATGGTGTACTGCCATATATAAGGACCTAGCTGATTACGAGCACTTTAAGCGGGCCTTAACCGATTTATTGTGGAGTGCACAAATCCAGTCACGGACCAGGTGCACGGTGTATCAAGACCGATACGATAAAAATAAAGCCGATACCATGTCCGCGCATTTTTTGAGATACAGTGTCATGGCCGCACACCTTTCTCCGCGGTTGTCCGAGCTTGATTTGATTGACGCTATCTCGGGACACTTCCCACCGTATGTCCAGAGGGCGATATTATCCGCGAATGTTCGCACCATTCAGGAGGCCCTCAGCTTCTAAAATAAGCTGGAAGCAATGGAAGCCAGGGACGGAAATCGAGGTCCGAACCAGGGACAACAAAGTAGCGGTTACAGATCCAACGACGGCAGAAACGCTAATCAATATCTGAACCGATATGATAAAAATCGACAAGGGGGACACCACATTAGGAATTTTGGGTATAGGGCGAACCAGAATTTCAAACAAGCAGGTCGGAATGGTAGATACAGCCCAAGATATAGGGAGTCCGCCGGAAGGAGAGGATACGGCATTGTTGAGCCACGCGAGGCTTCACAGGGGGAGCCCTCGCGTGCTAGCTTGAGCCCACAAGCTGGCTCATACAACCCATGTGGACTTTCCGCGAGCCCGTCAATCGGAACAACTGTTCGTTGGCGGAAAACTGAATCGGAGTGGCGTTAGGGACCGTTCGTCATTCTACGTGAGGCAAGGCAGCCCAGGTCCAGTCAGTAACCCAGATCAGTCAGAGGGAGATGGAGCCATAGTGCCTGAAGACAGTTGCTTTTCGGGTACTTTGATGAACTAAGTAGTGGATAGGGTAACGTTACTGTGTATGTGATAAACGAGACCAATCTAAAAGGATGCCCAAGAGTGGTTTTGAGAGCCGAAAATAGAGAGATAACTGCGATATTAGATAATGGAGCTGAGATTTATATTATTTCAGAAGAGATTTATGACAATTTGATAGCGGGGGGCGCACAGTTACTTAATTTACCTGTTATACAGGGAGTATTGATCTCTGCGTGGGGGCGAAGACAAAGAGAATTAAGAAGCAAGCTTTAATACCA